CACACACACACACACACACACACACACACACACACATATACAAACACACACACACACATTTTTTAAAAACCTCATTTTCAAATTTATCTAACATGTCAGAGCCTATAGGATGATTTAAAAAACAATAAATAACATCAAACAGCCATCTTCCAACCTGTTCTGCCGCTAGAAATAAGTTACTTTTTCCTCTCTCCTTTCCTCCTGCTTCGCAGCAGGCGCTTTTATGTCCGCAGCTGACTCTGTCCGGTGCTGGTGTGGGGTGAAAATCCTCCACCTCAGACGGTTCAGAGATGTAACTATCTGCGTCGCTGTGGTCACTTTCCATGTAGCATCGATTATGCTAATGCTAGCTGCCTGTCACGTTCTCTCGTCCTGGCCACACCTCCGCTCTCTAACCCCCCCTCCCCTACCCACACCCCCTCCCCTACTCACTTTGATGCATTTTTCTAATTTCGCCTTGGGGCGGAGTTATCTTTTCACAGGGGGGGGTAAGTTACACTTTAAACAGCCTATTATGCAAATTCAAAGTCCCTGGTAGGCTATAAAGAGGGAGGAAATAACCATAAAATCGGAATGTGCTGTGGGTGGTAGAGTTAAAAATGATAGGTACCATTGAGTAGAAGTTTGTCTCAAATCAGAAACCACACCTGGAATGCAGGATTTGAACTGAACTGTTAGAATGCTGTTTCTGTCTCTGGTACAGTTGAATAAATGCTTCTTAATGTACAATGTCCCTGTTACAGGGAGCAAAATAAAGTAGGAGAGAGGATGAATTAGTCTCAGCCTGTCTTTCCTCCTCCGTATCACATCCTCCATATATGAACAAAAACAGAAAGTGAAAAGTAAGTCTATAAACTGAACTGAGGTAGGAGGAAGACGAGGTTGAGGAGAATGTTGGAATTCATCACTAAACACTCAATTTGTGAAGAAAACTCCCACAGCCCTGGATGTTTGACTGCCTCCTGCTCTCCGCTGTGCAGGGGAGTGGGAGGTGGAGGCTGGGGATGGATGGAGGGAGAAACTAGGGGAGGAGGGAAGCTGCAGAGTCTATCCCAGACAGGCTCCATTAGAGGTCTGACCGCAGATAGAAACACTCACAACTGGGCCACCCATGTGCAGCTCACAATGTTTGAAGAGGAGTTTGAAGTGGGGGACAAGAGACAGGGATGAATACAGGAAAACAGTCAACTGGTGGGGATCTTTACTTTTGCTGCACGCACCACATTCAGAGATCCAAAACCTTTTTGGAGGCCATCAGCCAGTGTTGTAGCAGGTGCCAGTCCGCCTGTGAGGAGGCAGGCTGACTGGGCCAGAGTATCTGAAAGAAAAACATTGTGTTGAACCTTCAGGCAAACAAAAATCTAAAATGAATCAGGAAGTCTGGTGCGGCTACTAAAGGACAAGTTGTACAAAATAACCAGCAGAATTTGTGTTAATATTTAGCTGAGCTGTTGAATCAATAAAGTGAGTGAACTCTGACAGCTGGCACTGTGTCAACTCGATAAGACATACCAAAACTACCATAAAACGTCTGCAGACAAAATCACAACGCTTAGAGATGCCAATCAGCTCATCTCAAACAAGTAAAAATGTTTCAGACCCCCTATGTAGATTTTTTGCTTGAGAGGCGGCTACTGAAAAAAATCAAATTGCAAATATCCACATAAACCGTGCACACAGGAAGCATCTATACATGAGAGCACAGGAAAAAAATGCAAACACTGCTCAGCAGTTACTCAAAGTGACAGATGTGAGAACTTCCTTCCACATCTTTTCTAAAAAAAAAAAACACACACACAATGAATTCATTCAGTCGGGAGGCTCTGGGAATTATCGCTGTGCGCCTTATGTCATCATCAAACAGGCACTTGTTGGTCCAGGTGCTGGCGGGGTGAAATATACGAGCGTGTTTATTTCCACTGCTCTGATTGTGATGGTTTTCCCCCTGTCCTGACTTGCTCTCCACAGTATTCACTGCACACACACACCCTGTTCATAACAGGCTAAACAATGCGAGAAAGAATTGCTTCCTATTTTAGTTGAATGTCTCTAGACTCCACCAAAAGAGACAAAACACCCTCGCACTGCTCGTTTGTGACCATTTTTCCAGCGTGAGAGCACCGACTGTAAACAACCATTAGTGTATACATGTCCAAAAACATACTCTGAAATGTAAAGAGATGAAAAATGTTTCCTGTGGACAGCACATATAATGTGTTAAGGCAAGTCAATTACCTTTGATAATAGACTCTGCAGCAGCCAAATCTCGTTTGTAGGTCACCTGAGGAACAAATAACTCTGTTTATAAAGATTGTTTCAGTTTTGTGTGTTTTTTGTTGCAACTTTAGACCTAAGAGCTACACAAGGTCACAGTTTTTCATGATGAGAAGCTAAAAGATTATTGACATCAGTAGCGTCATAGCTTGATAAAAACCAGCCCTTTGTTCTACTATTTGCTTCGTACAGAGGGTCTGGACTTGTAGCTGTTGAGAAGTGATTTCTTGCTGGAGGCGTGGCCTCTGTTGAAGTTTAAAACAATTCGATCTGATTTACCCAATCAGCCATGACGTCTGTAGAGCATCAGCTCAACTGTGAAGGAAGCTAAAAAGCTAACCGGAAACTGCGTGCGCTGTAAACAACKCTCCCCTACTGGGAAGACAGAAGTACCTAGCCTAACAAAGTGGCTGTAAATGATGCTGCAGTCTTTGTGAGACAAATGCAATTGAACATGGAAGCCTTGTCAACACAGACCGGCTTTATTCACTTGTTCAGCTGCCATTGCTAAACTACAGGCAGACAAAAACCGCTCAGAAWATAGACGTTGTTCATAACTCATCCTGTTCTCTGACTGGCCTGGTTGAAATTCTACCAGAGAAGTTCAAAACCTAGATGGAGTAGAGAAGGGAAACTAGAACTGAACAGAACTCTGTAGGATGGGAAGGACCAGAACAGTAGCATCCCAATTTAAATTGTATTGTTCTTGTTCATGTTCAAGTATTTAAAAACACATTAAAAGCTAAAATAGTTTTAAATTCTCAGCAATAGTTTGACTGGAGTCAAAATTGTCCTAAACTCTGTTTATCTATTGTTGAAGAAGTTCCCACTCTGGAAGTAAGGTTGCAGTGCTCAAATGGCACCAAAAACTTACGTATATACTGTGTTATGGACTAATTATCTATCTGTGTCACATGTTCAATGTTAATCTGTTCATCCAGACAACAGGACTCCGCAYCGGACTGACCTCTCTTGTTTGATAAGACACTCTTTGAGCTGGGAGCCCTGTGATAGGCTGGAGAGTACATGGGGCGATCTGTGATTGGTTATAAGCACGTCATATGATGTTATCATGGTGTATATTATTGGCTGTGGTCGGCTGACATGTCAGCGACGAGCCAACKGAACTTCCTGATTGGGTCCTGTTTGTTTGTTGCTCAGAATTAAATCATTTATTACGACCARACACGCAGACTTTTCTGGCGTTATTCCAACATGTTTCTGCCTTCATACCACGACATACTGTAAAAAAATAGCATCTGAAATAACACTTTGGACCCACTATTTSCAATAACTTATTTCTGTTTTGATCTAGCTAATAATGGTGTCACATTGAACGAGTAATTTGTCAGTAACCCTCACCTTTAAGTCAGAAACTTTCCTTTTGTCCAGGTGTYGATGCCAAAATATCACTAAATGCACTATTTCCCCTGGCAAACTCACCTTCCACAGTGTTGGTGGACCTTCAATAAGCTTTGCGTTGATGCCACAGTACTGCAGAGCCAGATGGAGACACTCGGTGCCAAACTCAAAATCTGACTCCGTGCACTGCAGAGGGGACAGAAAAAGGTAGTTGACATGGTTATTAGACAAAAGAAGGAAAAAAAAAGATTTTGGCAGCTACAGAGCCCACATTGTAGCAACATGAGTGACGTCTGGTTAATAAATAAATTAGCTATTGGTTGGCTTTATTTGTTTATTTAACGGATAATTAAAACCAACCAACTCATGTCAAAGTGACAGAGACTGAAAACCCTTATATGATTATAATATAATGCTTCGAGTTGTTTCACCTGCAATAGAATTTAAAAGATAAACAGAGCTCTAAAGAATTATTTTAAAAAGCTACTTAGATTTTCAAATTATTAACATGTTTTCTTTTTAAAAAAACAATCAAAGACTGCAGTTTGACTGAAGCTGTGGSAAGAAACAATCAAGAACAGAAAAGATGATCTGAAATGATTTAACCTTTAGCGTTCTCTCACAATAAAAAAGCTCTCACTCTGGAGACTGGATAAAGTGTCTCCTCTTTTGTCTCTTCAGCTCTTAGTTCCAGCTACAACCGTGAAGAGATTTTTCATGGCTGTGTCATGCAGTCTTAACCGCACAGATACCTTACTCTTTCCACTCTTTTTAAAGCTTGAAAAGGAGGAGGGGGCTACGGTCTCTCAGTCGCCTGACTCCGTGTGTCTTTTTGCAACTCGACCGACCTCGACTGTGCAGCTCAAAAGTGAGCTCATTTTCTGAAAAGGCCGAAGCCAACAGGGCTCTAAAACCAATCAGAAGAAATAAAATGGGCCAGAAAAAAATTGACTTCAGACAAAAAAACACTCATTAAAGGAAAACTTCAGCTGTTGGTTCACAGTTTGTTGCAATATTCAAAAGCAGAGTTATTGGAAAAACGGTTTAAATAAATCAAAGTTGATGAAGTTCAGAAAAGAATCACCACTTTTATGACTCAGATCAGCACAGACATTCCTTCCATTTTGCAGGTGCAAATATTAAACCACACTCAGCGACCGAGGCACAGTTAATCTGAGCCAGGCTAAGAATAAAAAGTAATTTCACTGTTTATTATTTTTCCAGATGAGCTTTATTCCACAGATTAATCCGTGTCAGAGAGGAAGAACATATCAAAGTTATTTCTTTTCCAAAAGCAGCACAGGGCAGAAAACAACAACAACAACAGGAGTCGTACCACAAGCTCTTCAAAGTGAAAACCTGCAGGCTCTGGACCATAAAATGCAAATCAAATCTATCTCAATCATGTATTTTTGAGGATTAATGTCAACATTTCAAACCTTTTTCCACATCAACATCCTCTCTAGTGTACAATCTATGTAGTAAAGGTAAACTACAGTTTGACTCCTACCCTCTGATACGCCTGATAGATGACATCATAGGTAAAGCCCTGAGGCATCTCGCTGGCCCTGTACTTGGCTCGCTCCAAAGAGTGATCCAGGTAACCCTCCGACGTTGTGGCTATCACGGTGGAAACAAGTGGTCGAATGGCTCCTGCTGCCTGTGTAATAAAAAAGGGATTTATATTTAGTTATTAATGCAGCTTAGTGCAACGTTCTTACAGAGATAATATAACAAAACCATTAAATGGTAAAACTGAGCGATAATAAAGAAACAAATTTACCACTTGGTGCCAAATTTGAACTTTTCTGGCACATGGAGACTAACCTAAACACTTGAAAAGTACTTTTTAAAATAAAAAATAAAAATTAAGTTGTGAATCAAAATAACAACAACTGTAAAAGCTGTATAGTAGAATAAAAAAGGCAGAAAAATCCTGAAAAGAAATAAAATCAAAATTCCATTTTTTTCAGATGAATGTAAAAAATGATATGATTCAGGTGTTTTTTTAATTATTTTTTTATGCTGTTAATGAATAGATAAAAGCCCATCTGCCACTTTAACACATCTGTACCTTTTATCTTAGTTTATTTTGTATTTTAACTATGATACTTGACTCAAACATGTGCAGTATATCATTTCTCCTTATTTCTTATTTTAACATCTTATGAGACTTGTTCACCTAGCCATACTGTTCATATTTTTGTTAATATTTCTATTTATTTCTATTTTACACTGTTTATATGTCTATAAGTGTMTTTATTTTGTTCTCCAGTGTGATTATACTGTATTTTTTTCTAGTGTGCTTTACTTCTTTCTTCTCCAATATTTTACTTCAACTGTTGCAGCTTTAATAACTGTAATTTCCCACAGGTCAAAACTAAACTCGAAATGTTCCTCGTCTCATTGTTATGGCTGAGCATCACTAAGAAACAACGAATGAGCTCTACATGGTATTTCCTGCACAGAAACAGTGTTTGACACTGCCTCTAATAAACACTTAAATTCCATGGGTAATATAATCAACCTGTAGAGAAATGTAGTTTTTGGTCAAAGCTGGCTTTAAAGCAGGATATGTTTATTTTAAAAGCATTAATGCATTTTTTAAGCTCTCACGGGCCACTTATAATTAGAGGTTATCGGTATCGGATCCGATACCAGCATCAAGTACTCGTACTCGTAAAAGCCGGCCGATACTCTTAATCGATACCGCTTTTGTCCCCTTTTTTGTTCRTCCTGTGCTGCGCTGCAGCACAAAGGGTAAACAACAATCCATACCAGGCGGTGGCGCTAACACACTGACAAGTCGACCGCACCCCCGAATAACAGAAGAAGAACGATGAGAAGAAAAGAAGAAGAAGTAACGTCGGCAGTTTGGAGATATTTAAGAGCAGCACGGAGGAAACAAACCAGCAGACAGTCTGCTGTGCTCTGCTAACTGTCAAGAGGAGGAGCGAAAGTTGGATGTTTTAACAGCAGCAATTTGATTCAACATTTGAGGACAAGACATGACAAATCAAAGAGTTTGTTGCTGCTAGCAGTAGCCTTCAAAAACAGCACTATGCTGCAGTTGTTGCAGTAACTTCAATGCTGTTTTTTCTTTTTTGTAGAACAAACTAAGACATAAGCAGAATATGGAACAAAAGTTTGTTGTAAAAACATTTTATTTTTCCTTCTGGTTCTTCTGAGA